AATTGTTTTGCCTTTCCGGAACCTCTCCACTAACATTTGAAATTTAAGGTAATCAAATTGAGTTTTAAGTATTATTTTACGAATCGTTTGTATGGGAGTATAGAAAAGCGTTATTTATGGATTTTTTTTTTATTTTTCTCTGAGTAAGAACCATCCTCGTACTTCAAGGAATATTATAAAAAAAAAAATTATCGAAATCGGTTCAGCTGTTCTCGAAATTTGCGCTTAGCAACACATTGAGCGATTTATTTTTATATTATAGAAGATAAACCGAACCGGGTGCGAATTTATTTAACTGATAGAGAAAATTTTGTTATGTTGTTTAGGACCCGTTGTATGGAATGCACCATGCAAAAAAAGTTTGTCGCCCTTACCATTGGTCTATGCCACGGCTATCAATGGTCTATGCCTTTATTATTAAATGTATCTAGTGACGCAGTGGTTTGAACACACCCATCACTTTTATCACTCATAATAATTGCACTAATAATCGAGCCGGATGTTTCTAATGTGATTCTGATCATAGAAATTAGTACATTTTGAATTGGCTCAACACGTGTGGCGTGCCGTCGGGTGGCGTCGCGTTTCATAAGTCTGATTTGGCCATATTGGTTTCATGAAAAATATTGCAGAAACGGGTAAAAACATTCGATTTGTGAGCTTTTGTTGCGTGCGCTGGGTAAACACTTCAAGTTACACAAAAATTATGTTTGAGGGAATTTTTTCCCTTTATAATTTATATAAAACAGTCTACCACAGCATATGTATGTCCATCTTTTAAGTTTGATTTATATATTATAATCTTTTTCTTATTTAACACGAGTTAAACCGCAGGGGATCTCTAGTGTAATAGACTGTAACAGTTAGACATATGGTATTTCGAACTCTTTTGTAGATATTGATTTGCTCTTTAAAACTTTAGTACATCACTTTTTTCTATTATCAGTGACTTCTGCAGCGTGCGCGATATAAGGTTATTTTCGGTATCTTTTTCACACATTGGGTTACGCTATTGAAGTTTTCATACGGAACCCTAACTTTTTGAAAATACTGTATAGCGTATGTTCATCGGAAATAGTGTAGGATTCTAAATGTAAAAGAATTTATCAAATCGGTCAAGTAGTTCTGAGCCAATTCAATACAAACAAACAATCAAATCTTTCCTCTTTATTTTATTCAGTATAGATAAATCTTTCATCATTTATAATATCATTTATGCTATATTATCGCTTAGTTCATCGTAGCTCGGTGAAGTTGGCCAGGTGTTGTTCGGCGACAGCCATCATTGTGTACTGTACTGTGTACGTAGCAACGTAGTCAGCATAGCTCCGCTCGCGGCATCTCATGAATATTTAAACGCACATCAATGTTTCGGCTCAAGATATCGGATTTTCCGCCCGAGCAGTCATATTAAGGGATATGTTATGTTCGTGAACGTACTGCCTGTACTCACATGACGTATCTGATACAGTGATGAAAAGTAATCACGAAGAATGTTCTTTCGATGGAAAGCTGAACTTTTGTTTTGAGCGAGTTCAAAAACGGGGAGTTTTTCCTGTTTCATATGTTCTGTCGAATATACATTTATTTTTTTAAATACAAAGACTAAATGAGTGCAACTATCTGCGATAGTAGGAGAACCAGTTGCAAAGATGCTACAAACCATAAAGGTGGAGAATATAATAATGTAATTCACCAAAGGAGCTTTCTGACTCTATTAAAAAGTCTGATGTAGCCAATATACGCAGGTACATAACTCTCATGATAATTTGTTTTAATATTTAACATTCCTAGTGTAAAAGCCTTTCTCACCTATGAAACCGCAACAAACGTATGTAACATAATGTGATACTACGGGCCGTATCGCAATCACACCTGTTGCTTTAAATAACACGTGTTCGAATGTAGGGGCAATTATCTCTGTGTCGTTTGGATCAAAATCACTGGGTAGAAGATAAAAAAGTTTTTCTGATTGACTGTAACATTTATAGTTCTTTAAACTAATCAAGCTCACGAAGAAACACGAGCTTGTCCTAAGGCGAAGCGATTATGTTAGAATTCCGATTAGTGTGCGTTGCAGTAGCGAGTTTCACAAAAGGAATACGGAACGGTTCGATTTGATACGGTGACGATCCCTTTCCGAGTTGATATGTCAGCTGGAGCCCTGGAAACTCATTCAAGAACACAACTCTTACAAATAGTGCTCATTAAATGTCATCTTCTTAAAGGTGGAACTTGCTTCCCTGTACGGATACTTAAATTCGAGTAGAAATCTGATGTGTGCGTTAATCTGAACGATCGAATGATCTGTTAGATCCTCCATCACTTATCAGTGAATGTTTCAATCCTGCTTAAATTATACTATGGACGATTCTCTTGAAAAGAGATTCTAATTAGGTAATGCATGATATCATCACGCTCCGTTAAATATTACCGTAATTAATGAAGAATCTTTCCTCAAAATTAGCTGTTGAAACCTTAAAGGATGCTGACTTCTGCTTCGCTGGTTCATGCATAATTTAAAAAGTACGAGAGAGATAGGGGATAGATTTTCCGCTTGAATTGGAGCGGCTGTTTGGGGAATTAACCTCCACCTTATAAATCACAGTAAAGTAACGTTACCTTTTGATGGTGTTATGTTTCTGTCAGTGGTTAAGCTTCTGTCTGGAGTTCCAGGTCTCCATGGGGTAGTGGATTGGATCGGGGTAGGCAACGGTGTGAGAGATATTTTTGGTATCGCAAACGTCTTTTCGAGGAACTCGATGGCGCAGGTGGTTAGCGCGTTCGGCTGCGATCGTTGTAGTTAAGCAACTTTCGCAGTGGTCGGTCATTGGATGGGTGACCAAAAATTTCTATCTCGAGTTCCTCCGTGCTTCGGAAGGCACGTTAAGCCGTTGGTCCCGGTTGCATCTGCAATCGTTAGCACCCGCGAATCTGCACTGGACCCGCGTGGTGGGTCATGGCTCAATCTCCCTATTCCATCCATAGGGAAGGCCTGTGCCCCAGCAGTGGGGACATAAAGAGGCTGATGATGATGATGATGATGATGAAGCGTCTTTTCTATAGGCTTTTGTGGTCGCTTACCATCAGCCTGGTCATATGCTTGTTTGTCACCGTTTTAACATAAGAACAAAACAGGCGAAGATCTTTTTTATCATACAGCAGCGAAGACATTCTAATAATAGTCAGTCAGCATGCAAGAGCTCCAGAACTTTGGAACACCCATATGATGACCGGTCATTGCTAAAGTTGCTTAATACTACGATCGCTAACGAATATTAATTAGCATTGAAATTGGCCTAAAATGGTGTTCAAAATCAGTACTGACCGATTGCAAACCCACCGCTTACAAAAAAATTGGGAAAATGTTTTCCTCTGCTCTTTAATAGGCTTTTCTAATCACTGCGCAGAAAATTATGAAGCTGGCTTATTAGGGACATAAAAACGACAACTTTTTTTTACAAATTTAACACTGTGAAGGGTGTGCTTAACAAAAACACGGTCGTATTTTCTGTGGGTGTCAGTTGTCGCGATAATAATCATAAAGCCCTACCTTTATGATTATGATTGTGGACTTTGACACAAATAATAATTATATTTTCATTGTGGCTAGGGTCATTGTCACCATTGTGGTAAACGCGGACGATAAATATTGAACAGAAACAAAGGGGCACGTGCGAGTCAAAATCTCGTTAGATTTACGAGAATCGTTTAAAATTGACAGTGGCATAGATTTAGGCGCTTATCAGCATTTAAATTATGGCCGTTATAACGTCGCGCTGGTATAATTTTATCTCACCACTCGAAGCTAAAGTGATAGGAATTTGTATATTAATTTATTAGAACGGCGTTCACTTGAAAGAGTTTATCGTCAACTTTAACTTGTAACACGGGAAAATGTTTTGTATTGTACTGAGTTAATTAAACGTGAATAACAACAAAATAGTTTTATACTTTATATTTATGCGATTTTTATAAATATTAATTAAAATTTTAGGTTTTAAGGGTATTTCTACAATGTAAGGTACAGATATTGCAATCCACGAAGACGCGCCCCACTATTCCTCCTAACCGTTAAATGTGTGCCAGCTTCCGCCACTATGCTCGGTATGGGAGTTCGCTCAGACCTGAATCCAAAGAACTACATCGAAACCGTGATCAAAACAGCTTCACGCAAACTCGGAGTCCTGAACAAGGTGCGGCGTTTTTTCACGCCCGATCAACTGTGCTTGTTGTACAAAACGCAAGTGCGGTCCTGCGTGGAATATTGCTCGCACCTCTGGGATGGCTCCGCCAAGTACTTGCTCGATGCTTTGGATAGGTTACAGCGGCGCGCGATCCGCATCATAGGCGATGAGGAGGTGACTAAATACCTTGAGCCTCTTCAATTACGCCGTGATGTGGCGTCACTAAGCGCGTTCTATCGTCTGTATCAAGGCGAGTGTTCTGAGGAGTTATTCTCTCTTATCCCACCTTCTTCTTTCCTTCAGAGGACCACGCGCGCTGGCCTACGTTGTCACCGTCTAACTGTGGCCACAATTCCAACGCGTACAAAGAAATTTGGTGACTCATTTCTTTGTCGCACTATCCGTAAATGGAATGCCCTGCCCGCTCACGTGTTCCCTCCCTCTTACAACCTTTAAAAGAGGCGTGAAGAAGCAACATGCAGGCCGGCAGGGTGAGGATGTCTAGTGTGGCAGGTAAAACTGCTGTATCAGCTATCTTTACGTTTGGACTTCACCTTCACTTAACATCAGGTGGGGTGGAGTCATTTGTCGGACCTATCTATAAAAAAAAACTATTTGAGTGTTATCGGTACACACTAATTATCTATGATAATAATAAATAATAATATGATAATTATCTAATTATCTTTTTATCACTAATTATCCTTCAATAAAAAATTAGTGGGACGCATCTTCGTGGATTGCACTATCTGTATGACCTATAAGGTTATAGATATGCCATACACGTTTCTGATTTGGCAATACGAATTTCAGGTAATTGCCCGACTTACATTCAGTCGGCCACGCTCTCTCGCCGCGGCTACACTTCGCTACAACGTGTGAATATTTTACGTGTTGCCAGACAAAAAGCCCTATGTGTGTTAGATGGTACACAAATTACACGGGATCTATTAGAGACAAGAAAAACGTGTCATTCATTCGTAAGTACAGTATTTTTAAAGAAATTAATGTAAAAATATTTAGTGATTAGTTATTTTTACAGTTGCTGACACCGTTGAAACGTGGAGCGAGATACAATCTGCTTTATGTGTGAGAGCGAAAGAGACTACTTTAGTGCGCTCTATTGGCACTACTTGTGGCATTTAACCTGTCTATATATTATACGTCACTGGGTTTGACACTCTTTAGTATTAAGAATGTGTCAAACAAGTACGGAGGGTCGAACCTCATGTTTGACTTTGAGAATCACAATTTGATCTACTCAACATTTGTTTTGTTTTAAAGGAAGAAACTACATACTACTTTTAATGTGCATCTACTAACATTCATAAGTAGATACCTCTACTGATATCAATAAAGTCTGTGTAACTTATTACCAAGTTTTGCTATGTTATTGTTTCTTTTATATTATTAATGAAGTTCGCATTGGTTCAAAACCAAATCAAAATCAATATCAATATCGTTTATATAGTCTAGACTGTTACAAGCACTTGTGAATGTCGAAAAGCTACGCCATCGGTTCGTAAATCTACGGCAGGAGACCTTGTACTGAGAAGAACCGTCAAGAAACTCAGCTAGGTCTGTTTTTTTCTCCCTGTATTATATACAGACTGATCAAATTGAAAAATGACTTCAATATGAGGTAACTCATGAAGTCACTTTAAAATTACAAATGCAAATAATATAAAAATTATGACTATAAAATAAAAAAAAAAACTGGTTTAACAAAATTTAGGAATGCCGTGTCCTACTGTTAAGGCATAAAAAAAGAACTATTAAAGTTTAGTACAACGATTAATAGTATCCAATGTAGCAAGAGCAGACTCATCTCCGCTGCAGCACCCGTTCTATTTTATTATACTATCTAGGAAAAACAGCATAAAAAACGATAGTGTTTTTAATAAAGTAATGATTCAGATGTGACGAGTTCAAAATTATAAGTTTTAGGACATGTACAAGAAAACTTAAATAACGCAATTTTGCGATAATTCCAATGGTCGTAACTTCAAACATCGACTGTTATACAATCTAGCCGCTAACTTCCAGCAACAATTCTGTTCAATTTGACTTATAAACGCTGCAGAAACTAAACAAACTAAAACTAAACTGTTCCTAGAGAACTAAATAATTTTAGATGTTTGCAACTGAAGAGATTAGAACTTAGAATGTTAGTTAATTGATAAGTTTCAACTGAAGGCTACTAAGTTAATTCAATGTTTGTTGATTTTCTGACGTTATAGGTGAAACACATGTAATGAAATCTGACATCAAACATATTTAGCAAGTTAGGTATAAAGAAAAGTTTACTAGAAAACAAAAATCCACGCGGACCAGGCAGTGGACGGGACTGGTCCGCGTGGATTTTTTTCTAAGTTAGGTATAGACATTAAAACAACATTTTTTTGCATAATTTCTTAATAATTACAGCTTATTAATATTTCCATGGGACACAAGCCTTCCCTTTGCATATAATAGGGAGATTGGGCCGTGTCCCACGACGCGGGCCCAGACGCCCGGCTGCATCTGCAGTCGATAACATTGGAGGGGGGCGAACGACTGCAGAGCCAGCCTTTTTTTCTTTTTTTTATCGTCAGGAAAATGCGTTACGCATACCCCACCGCCTTGGGAGTGTTATGTGGGACTCCTCCCCTCCTCCTCTCGCCCACCCGCTCAGCCAATCCGAGGACTGACCCAACGGCTGCTCGAGAGGTAGTGGGCCCTACGCACTAAAACCGATGGGCCGTTACCTCGTCGGCCGCAAGGTCCGGCATCAGACGGGAACCCGCCCGGCGAGGCAAAGGCACTGGGTGAGGCCACGGGAACCCGTTAGTATACTTCCACGATCTCACTAAACTGCAGATCCAGCCTGGGACCAACAGATTAACATGCCTTCCGAATCACGGCGGAACTCGATATATTAAGTTCTTGGTCATCCATTCAATGGTTTACCATTGCAAAACTTGCTTAACTTCTTACTCGTAAACTTAACTTACGCAAACTCGTACAAAACGGTTTGCTTCCGACCTTTATCGTCAGAACAGCTAGGTTTTGGAACTCATTGCCGGAATCTCTGTTTCCAGTCACCTATCATCTGGGGCTCTTCAAGTCCCGAGTGAATCGGTTTCTTCTAGGCAAGCGCGTCCCACCTTAGGCTGCTACGTCGCTCTACATCAGGCGCGTGGCTTGACGGCTCCGCGCCACGCGTAAGCCTATTTAATGTAAAAAAAAAACTATCCACGATCGCAGGCCAAACACGCTAACCACCTGCGTCATTGAGTTCCTCTTACACATGAAAGTAAAGTAATGTAACCTATTGTTGATAAATAAATAAAGAGTTCCAACACTCACACTAATTAACCTAGCCCCAAAGTAAGCACTGTAGGCTTGTGTTATGGGATACTAGGGTAACGGATAGAATACATATACTGATACATATATAAGTATATTTATATAGAGATACATAATAAACATCAACGACTACAGTAGAAATGCCCGTATTCATCACACGACCCCCGGGATTCGAACCCGATACCTCTCGAGTAGGCGACACCTTGAAACACGACGTACACACCACTCGGCCACGGAAAGGTCGTCAAATTATTAGTTGATGATATTTATTTGCGTCGGATGGTTTGAGCTTACGTCCCAATAAACTAGGGAGTTCAGGCGTGCAAGGTGACAGTGAATATGGTGGTACATTTTGCTGCCACATCAGATGTCTTCGCTACTTAACCCTACTTACACGTAGGGTTGGGTTTTTTTAATGTTAAATCCCGTAGAGCCCAGAAACCTTACTTACGGCAAATCACAACATCACCAAAGGACCTTCTTTTCTAGTAAAGATTCAGCTATACCCTACTTCCCTAAGCATGGTGGCCATAGTGGTACATTTTGCTGCTGCACATAAGGTATCTTCACGACTGAACCCCACTTACACGTAGATTGGATTTGCTGTGTCTATATATAAATATCTTTTGGTGTTCTGTGCCTCAAAATTATCGTTCCAGGGTCAGGGCTTAGCCCATTGGAGCCCCGGCGAGGCCGAGAAGCTGCTGGGTGCGGGGATGCGGAGAAATCCCACCAAGGGGATGCCGCGGCTCCGCATCAGGCAGTGGTGAAGGTATTCGCAGGACTTTTTTACAGGTGGGCAGCCACTGGGGGGTCCGTAAGACTTGCGGGAGCCAGGTGTGAGGTCCGTTCGGGGGTGTGCCTCTTAAAGGCGCCGTCGTCTGTAAAAAGATTTTTTACTTGCGTCATAAAAAAAGGGCTTAGCCCATGGATCTCTAGAGCCACTACAGGGGGTTGGGTTCATTTGGACAATGTGAGGGGGAAGACTGGATATATTTTTTGTCACTTTTCTATTTTCGTAGTATTATTACTCTTCACGTTTTTTGTTCATCAATGGCATTATACTCAACCTTGTAAATGAAATAAAACTCCACTCAAAAACGTTAATCTTATGTTGAATGACGGGTACAGAGACGAACCAACAGCATCTGTTTAAACTGAATTGTACTTTGCTGAGCATAATCTCCCTTATTTATCAACTAGCGGCCCGCCCTCGCTTCGCTTCGGTGTAGAGCTGAAGTGTAGACTACAGTTTTTGTTCTCAGGCTTGTATTATACACAATGATATTCATCTATGATTCTTCTTATACCTGCATGCAAAGTCTCAGTCGGTTTAAAATTGACAAAGTTTCATACAAACTTTCATTCCCTATTTTATCCCCTTGGGGGTAGAATTGATCAAAATCCTTTCTTAGCAGATGCCTAGGTCATAACATCTACCTGTATGCTAAATTTTAGCCCGATCCGTTCAGTGGTTTGGGCTGTGCGTTGATAGATCACTATGGCAGTCAGTCACCTTTGAGTTTTATATATATTTATAGATATATAGATGAGGAAGAAGCTCTTAGACTAGTTACGCCGTTTTTCAATGAACACACAGACAACAGACAAAACATCCACTAATCCAAGCTTAATCTTCATTTATTAATAAGAGGGAAGGAGTTCAAGGAAGAAAGGGTATGGTCTCTAATACCATAATGGTCCTTACGATGCTTACTTAACCTTCACAGCTGCAGACTGTATGCGACACAGAAATTAAAACACTCGAACTCGGAAAATCTCGTTGAACATTTATCACTATGTTACAAGGTTAAAAGCTCGACTTTCAAACAGCGGGGTCCACTCCTTTGAAATGCGGTCCCACAAAAATTATATCTGTATTAAATTCGGCTGGCATAATAATTAAGTAACAGGCGCTCAATCAAGGCTATACGGGTTTAGTGGATACCCTAATAACAGTCTGTGGTTTCGCAACACTCAGCTGTTCTAGTTTCAAAAGGCTAATGTCAAAGCTGTACAAATTATTTAGGACTTTTGTTTGTCATGCAGCGCCCGTCTTAATATTTAATCTTCTCGTAGGCCCTAAAGGAATTTTGTCCTTTGAACGATCTGAATCATACAATGAGTACAGCGCCTTATTGTACACCTCATTATCTCCTTAATCTTACATCGCCTTTGTGATCTCGTGCTTTTATTTTCTAAGGGAAATGTACGTTATTAGACGAATAAATTTTGCCGACGTGAGATCATTTAGGAAATTAGAATGAATGGAAATCGTATAATGTTTATACTAGTCCGATGTTCCAAGTGCGGGAATCCGAGAAGCTTAATACTAATGGTAAGGCTCGTTATTTTTTCTTCTTCACCATTAATTATTTATCTGGAGTTCAACAATTGTTTGTCAAATAGCTTTTGACTGACTGAAAGATCGTCCTACTAACTGTTATAGCCAAATAAATAATCCACCTAGTAAAGTTTTACTGAAAAGACCGATTCGGTTAACAATTTGGCAAGGCAGAATAAAAGACATTGGATAATATATACCATCCGCAATTTATCTAAAATTTTCACTCTTCGCACTATTAGTATCCACTGGGGTAAAATGGTAAATTTAAACAAAAATAAAATATTG